ACGTCTTGCTCTCCAGGCCCTTCTTTCCCAGCCAGTCTTGCAGTGACCAGCTCATGGGCACCCACGCAAGCCCAGATCCTGCCAAATGCTCAGACACCCTCTCTCTCTTGGACCCCCATAACCTTGGGCTCCCACACTCCTGGGCACAGACACAGATTCGCGGGTAAACTAGGGAAGGCAGCCCCTGGGCACCGCACTCCCAGGCGCTGCGGGCGCCTTCACTGCGCTCACCACCCCAGCTGCACCTGGCCTGGGTGTGGGCTGACGCCTGCGTTCTCGGGGCCTCTCTGCCCTGGCCCCCAGTCCGCTAGCAGCGCGGTGACCCTCCCGCGCGGAGGCCTCACCTGCTGTCCCTGCGGGCGGCCGGCAACCGCGCGGTGGCGCCTCGCTCGCCTTTGCGCCCGCGCCCGGCGCCTCGGGGCTCCACTGGCGTCCGCTGCACGCCGCGCGCCTCCACGCGAATGGGGCGCCGCCGCCCGCCTTCTTGTTGGCCGCACCCCCGCCCCGCGCAGGGCCCGGCCCGGCGAGAAAGCCTTAATTGGTAAAATCGCCCAGGAACGGGGCGGGGGGGGGGGCCGTGAGCTCGAGCGCCCGGACCGCCTGGCGACACCGCCCCCCCCCCCGCCCCCGCCTGGGATGAGCTCACCTCCCAGGGAGGGCCGCAGAGAGGGGGGTCGCAGCTAGAGCTCGCGGGGTCTGCAAGGCCCACGTCTCTGCCCAGCCAGAAAAGCCACCTCCTCCAGGGAGCCGCCCACAGTCACGCCGTCTGCCTTTGCCCCAAGCCTGGGCTGGCCGGGCAGGTCAGATTCTGCCCTCTGGGGTTGGGGGACAACAGGCTGTTGCAAGTGTTCACTGAGTGCCTACCACTTGCACAGCCACAGTGGGGCAGGGACCTGAACCCCGGGATGAGCAATTATCCTGGCTGCCACTGATTTGGTCCCTGCTGGGTGCCAGGCCTGGCCTGGGAGCAGGCAGCAGAAATGTACTGAGGGGTCGGCCCATGGCTGAGTGGTTAAGTTCCCGCGCTCCGCTTCAGCGGCCCAGGGTTTTGCCGGTTTGGCTCCTGGGCGCCGACATGACACCACTCGTCAGGTCATGTTGAGGTGGCATCCCACATGCCACAACTAGAAGGACCCACAACTAAAATATACAACTATGTACTGGGGGTGGGGGTGGGGGGGCTTTGGGGAGAAGAAGAAGAAAAAAAAAGCAATGTACTGAATTCTCAGGAGCACAATTAGGTGCAGTCCCAAAGTCCGGGAGTGTGCAGTGGAGTGCAGCCAAAGAGCCAAGTGTTCGTGAACTGGGTGGGCACAGCCACACCCTGGCACTGCCAGATTCCCTTTTCCTCTTCTGAGTGCCCATTTCCTGGTAGCTTCAGGCGCAGCTCAAATGTCACTTCCTTGGGGAAGGCCACATAAAGCAGTGTCATTTTAACACTTTGCCCACAAGCCCCAATAAGAACTACATTTTGCATCCTGAGACCATCCGTGCAAGCACACACAGAGACTGACAGAATGACTGAGACAAGCGCTCCACAAACGGAGACTTTCCTTCACTACTGGAAAAGCACTTGACATTTTCTATTCTATGGAGAGAGGAAGTTATTTGGTTACACCTGCTAAATGAATTTGGCGGCTACAGTTTAACGCTAACAGGAAGGCTCTGATTGCTCTCCAGGCCTCCCTGCAGCCGCTGCTGCCTTTGCTAGCTCTGCTGGCAATGTCCTTTCCACCTTGACTCATGGTGGGATTTCCTAGCAGTGCCAGGGGCTCCGTGTCTCTTGCTGCTCCCTATGGTGGGAACTCCCCCTCATCACTGGGGAGGGCAGTGGGTTATCGTCACTTGATAGATGAGCGGCCTGAGTTCAGGCCCATGAGGTGGCTTTGCTGGAGCTCACAGCCAAGGCTGTTCTTTGAGGAGAGAAAGCCACCTACCATAAGCATGGCAATCAGAGCCAGGGGTACAATAGGTGGGGCATTCAGGAGGCAGTGGCCACATGGCTGGATCTCGGGCCCCCCATCTCCATTTAAATCCTCTACTGCCTCCCTCCCCCTCCACACACACTCCAAAACACACAAAAAAGGCACAGCTCTTGGTTTCTACTTCTGCCAGGTCTAAGGGGAATGAAGGTTTGTATAGCACCAGCTGTGCCTGGTGGAGATCCCAATCAATGAAACCTTTTCTCCTTGTGCTGAAGGTTTCGGAAGACCGCTAGAATCGGCTCCATTCCTGCTGCCAAGGCAGGCTGAACCTGCAATGGGCTGTGCCCGTAGGGCCGAGATGAACAGCTGTGTTCTGGGGGGACACAAGGCATTCTCAGAGAAGCATTTGGTCAGCTAGCCATTCACCATTTTATATTGATTGTGACAATATTCTACACATTAATTTTCACAATAATCACCATCTTATGACTTTTGTTACTATCTGAGCAATGTTTCAAAGCATTCGAATACCAGGTGAAACTCAAAGGATCTTTAACATCTTTGAAGAGAAAAGTTGTTTTGTATCAAACTAAAGTATTAAGATTCTGATCTTAAAGAAAACTTTAGTAGCTCGGTAAATAATCATCTCCTTGGACACGGATGCTGAGAAATGTATGTGTGTTGATATTATTTCCCCTTATAACTTTCAATCTTGCTGAGATTCCAAGTTATACAATGTTCTGCTTAGAAGCCATTGCCCATCCTTGAAGGAGAAACTGTCTTCTTATTCTTGACTTGGAATCTGCGGCTTCCAAGCACTTTTCACCTTGGCTGCGGTTCCAGAGAAATTCCTCCTTTTCTTTAACTCTGCCCACCCTTCCCAGGAAGACTCCCCTGGAGGCCGCAGATTCCCCCAACAGGCCCTCTGATGACTCAGGACCCGTGCTGGCCATGCTGGCTAGGTCACTGCCCCGAGGACTAGGTACTCCCCGATGCCATTCATGGGGGAACGGGACCCTTGAGCAATGTCCTCCGTCTCTGGGCCCCTGATTCCCCCTGTGTGATGGAGTGGTGCAGGCCTCTCAGCTCTGATGGGCAAGGGCTTGCGTGGTTTCTGGTGGTATGGGACAGGTCTGTGCTGCGATGGGGCTGGACCTGGGCTGCAAGTGCCCATGGGGTGGGCAGAGGGGACCATCGCAGTTCAGCCTCCTGGTGCCAACCATGGTGGGACTTCATAGCGGGGTAACAGGGGGGACATAAAAGGCAGAGTGCCGAGGCAGGTGCTGGGGGAGGGGGCGTTCCTTGGGGAGAAAGCAAACCTAGAATTCCTTGACCTCATAAGGAAACAGCTTGGATCCACACGGGGAGGGGTGGCATGGGGGAGGACTGGGCCTCCGGGACAGGGGCCAGCACTGCAGAAGAAGGCTTGGAGAGGTGCTGGGGAATCTGAGCTTGCCAAAACTCAAAATTCCAGGAGGCAGCCTCTGAGCGGCCCAGAGCCCAAACGCCATCTCCCTCCTTGCTCTGAAAGATAAGCAACAAGCCCCTGCCCTGCCCAGGGCTCTCCCCTCTCTACTGCCATGCACATGTCTGAGGACCTACACACCTCTTCCCCCTATTTCAGGAGACAGAGCAGGCCTCGCCTTTGCTCTAAAACCTAGCCAACAGCAACTCTTCTGAGGGTCTTGATGTGTAGTCAGACCAGGACCCCATCTCCTCACCATTCCCTCTGTGGCTACCTCTTCTCCACCCCATGAGCAAACCTCTATGGAGAACTGCTCTGTGACCCTCACTAGCTGGGCCAGCCAGCCTGGGTCTGACCAGAGCCCTTCTGTCTTCTTCTCCCTCTGTCATCTGCGACCAGGGACAGCACCTCAGTTGGCCCCACACTCCATCAGCTGGTTTTGTTTAGAACATGATTATCACCTCCTTTCCAATTTCCATGGGACAGCTTTTTACTGACCAAGGCCCTCACCAACTCCTAGTAACGTCCAGGCTCCTCAGCAGGCCTTGGCAGCCTTCCGTGGGCCCCCCCCCCAGTCCTCAGGGTTCCCCTCTGCACTATCACGACACTGAAGCCCACCCAGACCCTGCCAAGCCTTGTTGGAACCCCTGAGCAGGTCCCTGCGGGTCTGGAAGAGCCCCCGTGACCCTGCCTGGTGGCCTCCTGGGCTCAGGGGCCACTCCGACAGGAGAGGAAACCTCGAGTGCCCCAGGTGGCCGGCAGGGTGGGTCAGGCAGACACTCTCTGTCTCTGCACGCATCACACGGCGCCCCGTGCCAGTACCCATTGGCATGCCCGGGCCCTTCCAAGGCTGCTTGCTCCTGGAGTGCTGGGCGGCCTCCTGGCCCACTGCCCCGTTTCCTCCCGGTGGAACGCGCAGAGGGAGGGAGGCGGTGGGGACCTGCGGGCGCAGGTGCGCAGGCCAGGGCCGTGCAGAGCGGGACGGAGGAGGGGGATTTGGGGGGCGGCTTAGGGTCCGGGCCCTTCCGGCAGCCGCTCTCAGGATCGGGCCCTTTCCCGCTGCTGCCGGGGCGGCCTGCCGGGGTGCGGCCGGGGAACCGCGGGCGCTGGAGCCCGGGTTCCGGGAGGGGGTGAGGGCGGAGCGGCGGGAGCTGCGGGACCCGGCGAAGCCCACTTGACTCAGGGAGGGCGAGTACGCCAAACGGGCCGGCCCTGACCCGCTCCCGCTTTCCGGCCGCCTTCTGCTGGTTCGCCTCGCGCAGGCCCCGCCCCTCCTCGCTTCTCACCCGAAACGCCAGCAGTGACGTCTCGGCTCGCCAGCCCCGCCCCGCTCCCTTGTCCTGGCGCGTGTGCGCTCTTTCCCCTCGCGCGCAGGCCCCGCCCCTTCCTGCGGACGCGCAGCTCCTCCTGCTCCCACGGCCGGACTGGCGTGCGCCGCTTTGGCTCCCGCACACGCCCCGCCCCTCTTTCGCCTTTAGCCAATCCCGCCCGTTTGGGACTTCTGGGCTCTCCAGCCCCGCCCCGCCTGCTCCCACGATTGGACTGGTCTGCGCCGGCTGCTCCCCGCGGCCTGGCTCCGCCCCGCGCAGCGCGCGCAGCCCGCAGAGCCCGCGGCCATGACGCGAGCGTGACGCAGGCGTGTCGCGGGCGCAGCCGCTCCCGAGGCGCTCGCCTTGTCCCTGCTGTGTTCCCAGGCCGCCGCAGCTCGGCCCGTGTCGCCAGGCCCGGGCCGCCCCCAGTCCTCTGCCGACCGCCATGGACGACTACGCGGTCTTGTCAGACGCCGAGCTGGCCGCCGTGCTGCGTCAATACAACATCCCGCACGGGCCTGTCGTGGGTACGCGGCGGCGGGCCCCCTCCCCGCGCTCCGCCCCGCGCCCCCTCCCGGGACGCCCTCCCCGCTGTCCCCGGGCTCCCGGCCCGCGCCCCTGACCGCCCCGCGCCCCATGTCTGGCCAGGTTCCACTCGCAAGCTCTACGAAAAGAAAATCTTCGAGTACGAGACCCAGAGACGGAGGCTTTCGCCCCCGAACTCGTCCGCATCGTCTTTCTCCTACCGGTTCTCGGGTGAGGCCCCCGCCCCAGAGCCCCATCTGGCTGCCCGTGAGGACAGGGTTTGGGCGACGGGGAGGACAGTCGCGAGGGTGTGGCAGGGGCGCTGGCCGGGAGGGGCACGGGAAAAAGGGAGGGGGGCCTTGGGGCAAATGGTCGCGACCCCCTCATTCAGACTTAGATTCAGCCTCCGTAGACTCGGATATGTACGATCTGCCCAAGAAGGAGGACGCCTTACTTTACCAGAGCAAGGGTAAGGCAGGTGTGGGGTGGACACCCTGACACCTTCATTCCACTCCCTCAGGGACCCCAGTGTCAGGGAGAACCTGAAACCGCAACCCCCACCATCCCTTAGCAGCCCTAGAGGGGGGTAAACCATATCACAGGCCTCAAAGTGGGTTTCAGATTAGGGCCATCGGGCCAGGCGGGGGACACCACTGCTCCTTCTGCTACTGCTGCCCCCCTTCCCAAGGCTATAATGATGACTACTATGAGGAGAGTTACTTGACCACCAGGACTTACGGGGAGCCTGAGTCTGTGGGCACGTCCAAGGGCTTCCGCCAGCCCTCACCTTCACTCTCAGACGCTGATACCTTTCACCACCAGGTGAGTTGGCTGTCTGGTAGCCTGTACTTGTGTACAACCTGAGGGGGTCAGAGCTGGGTTTGCATAAGTCAAGGGAGCTTATAGTAGCTCCCAAGCCTCCAGGGAGAGGTGGGGGTCAGCAGACACCTGCCTACTCAGGGGGTCATTTGGGGGCTGTCAGAACTGTTTGGAGCATATGGGATGTGCCCTGCACCCTGGTTTGGGGTCTAGGTTTGAGCTCTTTCTGAGAATCCTGGAGCAGAAAGTAGGGTGCAGGCAGCCAGGGCAGTCACTGACCAAGTGGTAAGGTCGGGAACTCAGAACGGTACTGGAGGGGGGCAGGGCCTGGGCCTCTAAGCAATGGGTGGGATAGGCCAGCAGAGGAAGTTTGGACTGAGGGATGTGGCCGGGCTACACTGACCCTGTCAGCAATTTCCCTCACCTGGATTCTCTTCTATAGATGCGTGATGACAGTCTTTTCTCTTCTGAAGAGGAGGGTAAAGATAGGTGAGTAGTAGGGAGGGCCAGGGACCAGGGCTGATTCTGGACCCAGGACCTCCTGGTCCATCTGCTCCCTCTTTGCCTCAGGGAACGCCCCGTGTATGGCCGGGACAGTGCCTACCAGAGCATCGCGCACTACCGCCCCGTTTCCAACGTCTCCAGAAGCTCCCTGGGCCTGTCCTATTACCCCACATCCTCCTCTACCTCTTCCGTGTCCTCATCTTCATCTCCTCCCCCTTCATGGCTCACCCGCTGTGCCATCCGGCCAGAAAAGCAGGCCCCTGGAGCTGGTCTGGGCCAGGATCGCCAGGTCCCACTCTGGGGCCAGCTGCTCCTGTTCCTGGTCTTTGCTGCCTTCCTGCTTTTTGTCTACTATTCCATGCAGGCTGAGGATGGCAACCCCTTCTGAATGGAGCCCTGAGGGGCTGGCTTCGGGGCCAGCTGTTCTCGAAGTCCTGGCTGACTGCATTAGCAGTGTTTGCTGGTGGGGGGGGGGTTGCTTTTCTGTGTGTTCTAGCTTGGGGGTGCTGGGCCTGGCCGGGGGCAGTACTTGCTCCCCCTGACTTGTCCTGCCTTGTTTTGCCAGGGAGGCAGCCGGCTCAGGCCCTGCGCGCCGTGGTGGGCCTGGGCAGGCCTTCCTCTGAAGCCTCCTGGTCCTGCTTGCCTCTGACCCTTAGGACCCAAGAGGGCAAGACCCTTCTCCTGGAGAGGAGAACGTGGTTGTTGTCATTGCATGCCTCCTGTTCGTTGTCACCTTGTTGGGGGGGATTAACCAAAGGCCACCCTGACTTTGTTTTCATGGACACACAATAAAAAGACCATTTATTTTTAAAGTGTGGGCTCTTCCTGCTGGGGGAGGGGTTGGACTCTCGTGGCTCGGGGCCTCTGGGCTTTGGTCTCCAGAATCACTATCTGGTTTCATCGTTTCTCCCTTTTTGTTTTGGGCTTGGGCTTGGGATCGCACGCTACCCGTGGACACGTTTGTGCTTTGCTTGTGGCGTCTACTCCCTGACTCGCTACCCAAAGCTCTCGTAATTAGGAGAAGAACTATGGCACCATGGAGCATGGAGAGTCCACCTGAAATGCAGGCGAGGCTGCCTGTGCAGAGCTTGCTGCGGATGTTTTACCTGGAGGAGCTGACCTAACCACGGTGTCCAAGGGCGGGGGATGGAAAGGAAGTAAGGCATCTGCTTGGCCATGCTTTCTCCCAGAGAGCTGCTTGTTCAGTGCCCGGGGGAATGCTGCCAGCGCTCTGAAATGCCCCATCTCCTGTGGGGAATCTGATTCCTCACTTATCTCCAGGTGTTTTGCTGTGGGTATTTGGAATCTTCAAAGTTTACATATTTTTAAAAGCAGGTGCTAAGGAAACCCAGGATAGAATGCCACGGGAGGCCGTGCATCCTGCCTCTATGCTGCCAGCAGAGGGCAGGAAACCACGGAGGGGCTGGCATCTGCTCCACGCAGGCAGGTGGGAAACAAGGGCATGGCCAGGGCTTCTCCTCTGACTGGCTCCTTGCTACAAGCCGCAGGACTCAGCAGGTGTGGCCTCTCCCTTGGCACAGCACCCATGCAGAGGCTGCATGTGCACCCATGGGCTCCTGAGCCTTTGGGGGCTCTCAGCCGTCTCTGGCCACAAGGCCAGCTCGGGTCAGGGCTGGGACTGGGACCCTCTTACCCCTGGCTCCTGGCCGTTTGTTTTTGCTGCATCCTAGTCTCTCCCCACATTCTTTTGGTGTGTTTTCCTAAAAGTAACACGTTTTTTCTGCATTTAAAATATACAGAAAAGAATGAAAGAAAAGAATTGCTTCTGGTTTTCTCACCACTCCGACATCCTCAGCCTTCCTTATTTGCTGCAAATCGCCCCCACGTGGCTTGTCCTTCAGTACCCAGCCACCTGTGGCATGGACTCCCCAGGCCCCTAGCCTCTGCCCCTCACCATCCTAGTTCAAGGGCTGAGACCCGGATGCTCCATGGTGGGTGGTGGGCCTGGGCAGGGAGTGCTGCCTCTTCATCAGTGATGTGATAGTCAGATCAGTGAGCTAGGGGGAGGGGCAACAGGGCCCCAGGGGGCACAGTGATGCAGCTCGTTTCAGCAACTGATCCCAAATCAAATATGTTGAGAGAAGGGACTGACCGTGCCTGTGAGTACAGCTCCCTGACAAGCACTCACTACTTGGAATTGCTGTCGGGCTGGAGCCCCACGGTGTCTGCGCAGAGAGGCAAGTGGAGCCTAGTAGACCCCACGTGGGGTCTGGGGAAGTGGCAAGGTTGACATGCCAATGGTCTGGAATAGCTGCGGTGGAGGGAAGGGACAGCACCAGAGGAAGGGGAATGGGGCTTGGGGCATCCCGTGGAAGGGCAGAAAGATGGAATGGCCCTTCCTAGGCCTCATGTTGTCAATCTGTTGCAGGAAAAAGGGGAAGGCTAGGTGTGCTTGGCAACCACTGTGGTGTTTGGCAGGAGAGAAGAGAGGAAAGGGAGGAAACAGTTGCCACCCATGTGACAGTTTCCCCCTTTTCATTCATTTATTCCCCAAGGGCAACCAGTTCCTTCATTGCTGCACTAGATGGATTGCTAATGGCTCCCCACTTGAGCCTCCTGCCCAAGGGCTCTGAGACACTCTCCTCCTGAGGAGTCCTGATAGCTCCCGAGGTCTCTGGGCCTCCTCAAGACTACCCTTCTGGGGGCCAGCCTGGTGGCGTAGTGGTTAAGTTTGCACGCTCTGCTTTGGCCTGGGGTTCGCAGGTTGGGATCCTGGGTGTGGCCTACACATGGCTCATCAAGCCATGCTGTGGCAGCATCCCACATATAAAATGGAGGAAGACTGGCACAGATGTTACCTCAAGGCCAATCTTCCTCACCAAATAAAAAAAAAAAGATGGGGCCGGCCCAGTGGTGCACCGTTTAAGTGTGCTTGTTCTGCTTCGGCAGCCTAGGGTTCAACGGTTTGGATCCTGGGCATGGACATGGCACTGCTCATCTAAGCCATGCTGAGGCGGCATCCTATGTGCCACAACAAGAAGGACCCACAACTAAAAATATACAACTATGTAACGGGGGGCTTTGGGGAGAAAAAGGAAAAAAAAATAAAATCTTTGAAAAAAGAAAGAAAAAGTATACCCTTCCAGTTTGGCCCCATTCCCCAGGGCTCCTGCATCCCTGTGGTACTCTGCTCTTAGTACTCTGCTCTCCAGGGCTCTCTGCCATACCCCTACTCCCATGCTCCGCCCAATTCCCAGGGCTCTGCAGCCCCATAAGGGCACCCGAGTGCTCTGGGTGCCCCAACCCAAGTCTTTTGAGGGCTCCGTGGGCCCCCAACAGAACCCCAGGCTTCCAGGTCTCCTTCTACCTAGTGTTTTCCAGGGCTCTGGGGCTACCTCCCTCAGGATCTCCAAAGGGGCTCCCCTCCCGAAAGCCCCTGAGAGTTCTGGGGTTCCCCCACAGGGCAACTGAAGGCTCCAAAGTTCTCACTCCCCAGGGCTCAGGCCATCTTCCCCTCCACCACTCCCACCAATGGCTCCAGCAGTGCTCTGAGACACCGCAGCAGGCAGAGACTGCCTGTGGTCCACGGGACTGCAGCTCTGCTGCCTCGAGTGCCACCAGAACTGGGCTCTGCCAGGGTGAAGAGGAGCCCGAGTGGCCCGGGGCCAGGCATTGGAGCCAGCTGCGTGGGCCGCTGCCAGCTGAGCTGAAGTGCATCCTTGGGTGGGTAGGGTGGAGCACATAGGCAGGTCAGGGTGTGGAGCCCGGAAGCCATTCCTGACACGCCCTTTGACTTCGGGCCCCTCCCTGACAGGTCCAGGGGAAACAACAACAGCAATGGAGAGGGCCAGGGATGCCCCTGCCTTGACCCTCACTCTGTGCCAGAGCCATCTGCTCAAGCCAGAGAAGGCATGTCCTGGGCTGATTGGGTTCCAGCGCCCAGTAGGCACCCCTCCAAGAAAGCAGCCCAAGGAGTGTACAGCCTGTGGCTCCATAAGGATGAACCACCTCAGGCCCCAAAGGGCCTAAAGTGGCAGAAAGTGGCACTGGATCCTCACTATCACTGGGATGCTGCCCAGGCTCCTGGTGGCCCGTCGCTGGAAACTCCGCCCCCGGAAAGCAGACGCAGGCAGGACACAGCTGCAAGAAGTCAGGCCCCGCCTCCTGGCCCACCACTTCCCCCACTGCTCTTGCTGGCTGGGAGGGGAGGGAGGCAGGTGCACTCTGGAAGCTTCTAGAAGCTGCCCAGCTGGAGAAGGGGCAGGAGGAAGCAGAGCCAGGCCTGCCTCCTGCTAGAGAGGTCTAGCACCGGTGGGGGATAGAAGTCCCCCCGAGGCACCCCCTTCTCCCCTCAGCCCACCAGGCAGCCCTCCCTCCCCTGAGTCACCCTCTAGAGCCTCCTGGCCCGTCCCGCCAAGAGGAGAGAGTCGTGCCTCCCATCCTCTCCAAGCCCCCGCCTGGCAGGGCCCCATGGGGAAAAGGGCCCCAGAGCCGAGCCGAGCTAACCAGGAGTGCCTGTCCCCGCTCCGGACACCACATCGCACCCAGGCAGCCGTGACACACGTGGGGCAGCAGGGCAGAAGACGGCAACCTGGGGGGAACAGGCCCCCGGGGACAGCCCTGGATAGAGGCTACAGGCCAGACCAGGCCTGCCCAGGCAGGGGGCAGGAGGGAGCGAGACTCGGGCGCTGCCTCTGCCAGGGCTCCGGGGGAGGACAGGCAGATGGCCCCAGGAAAAGGAGCACGGCACGGGGACCCCGTCCTGTTGGGGGCAAACAGCCTGGGACCCGACCCCACTGAGCAAATCCCCTGAGGACACCCCGGCTGCTGGCAGGAAGACAGGGAGGTGCACGGCCTGGACCCTCAGCTGGGCTCACACACAGTGTGTCAAGGCCTGGCCACCCACCCAGAGCCAGCAGGAGTGGTGGCCCGGGCAGCCCCACCGGGCCCCACGCCTGAGCCCTGCTTGCCAACAGGTACCAGGAGCAGAGGAGAGGCCCCGGCCACACGCCCTCCCCGGGCTGGCCCCATCTCACCTACTAAGTCTGGGGAGGGGACAGCTGGCCGCCCCAGTTGGGAGCAGCCCCCCTTCCTGCAGGTCGTGCCCGGTCTGAGGCCGGGCAGGGCAGGGGGATGGCTGAGCTGACCGCCCCCACCCACACCTGGCCAGCCTCCACCCCTGCCCCGGCCACACCCGACCCTCTGCACCTGACCCTCCCTGCTGCCTGTCCCCACAGGAGGCTGGAAGGGACCCAGGTGAGGAAAGGGGAGCACCGGGCCCCTCAGGGTGGGGCTGCCACCCACCGGACAATGAGGGCGTCCCAGCACCTCAACAACGGGAACATCAGTCGGAGACCACTGGGGTTCCCACAGGGCCCCCCAGCACGGGCGGCCTCACCCCACTCCAGGGCACGGGGCCAGGGCCCTCCAGGGCAGCCCCCGGGGAACCCCGCTGGAGCCAGTGGGCCAAGGAAGGGGCGGCTGCTAAGTCAGGGTCAGCGAGCAGCTGCTGGCCGCGGGGACCTCCAGCGCGCTGGCTCGGTGCTCTGTGGCTCAGGACGGTCTCATCCCACTCCAGGGCCCCGGGCCCGTCCCAGCTGCCACAGGTCCCCCAGAGGACGGGCCCAGTCGCCTGCACCAGTGTCCTCCTCAGGCCACAGGCGTCTCCAGGGAGGGCATTACCTGGCACAGGAGGACCCTGTGCCGCTCAGAGGTCGGGCTGGCTTTGGCTGCCTCCACCCCCGCCCTCCGCAACAGGGGTCGCGGCGGGTCCCCGTGAGCCCCATGAGGCCGCAGCCAGGGCAGCAGGGCTGAGGAGACGGCAGAGCAGTGGGCAGGGCTGGGGGTGGCC